GGAGACAGAAAGCATCATCATCATCATGCTTTCCAAAGAGGAGAAGGCTCCAGGGAGACCTTCCAGCCCCTTCCAGTCCCTCAAGGGGCTCCAGGAAAGCTGGGGAGGGACTCTGGATCAGGGAGGGGAGCCCCAGGAGGAGGGGGAAGGGTTTGACCCTGCAAGAGGGGAGATGGAGCTGAGCTGTGGGGAAGAACTTGTTTGGTGGGAGGGTGGTGAGAGCCTGGCCCAGGTTGGCCAGAGAAGCTGTGGCTGCCCCATCCCTGGAGGGGTTCAAGGGCAGGTTGGAGGGGGCTTGGAGCAACCTGGTGTGGTGGGAGGTCTCCCTGCCCAGGGCAGGGGGTGGCACTGGATGGGCTTTAAGGTCCTTTCCAACTCAAACTATTCTATGATTATGCCTGGTTGAGGGGCTCCAAAGGTAACTAGACCTGGCCATGCTGGGTTTGAAGCTCTGAGGGAGGCGAGTTCAACCCCAGGAAGGGCTGGACTAGAAACACAGGCTGCTGTTTGGTGCTGAGGACATCTCGGAGAGGTGAAGAGCTAGAGGTGAGGCACGGCAGGGTCAGAGAAGACACTTCTCTGTGGCCACTTGTGGCCCAGAGGAATTAGCTGCCTGACAGCAGAGAAGAGGTGGCACATCACTGCTGGTGGTGTGCAACCACAAGAAAGGTCTTGAATTCTGTGGAGAGTGAAGGGTCTCTGGGTGCTTTTTTGGATGGGATTTCAGAGAAGCAGCCTCAGAAGCATCTGAGGTAGCTATAAACAGACCAAACGGCCAGCAACAAGCCAAATGGTAAAGACTGCAGCCTTCTGAAGGGAGACGTGGGCGATGTAGCTGATCTGCAGGCTGCTGTGTAATCCCACAGCTACTTTACTGCCTCGGGCCTGGGAGATGGCAAGCCATATTGTAATTTTTATAGATGCAGTGATGGCCCTGGGTGCTTTGGAGTGAGATGTTGGGGTTACAGCAGGTAATTGTGTGACAACATCGGTTCAGCTCGGAAGTTGCAAAAGCTAATTCCACGTCTGTGTGAGGGAAGACAAATTAGTCCTTGCCTGGAAGTGCATGAGCCCTTAAATTGATTTGGAGCTCTGCAGTGCAGTTATGGGAGGATGCTGAAGAGGGAAGGGATGGAAGTGAGAGCTGGTGGTGGAGCTGTGGATCACTCTGAGTAGGGCTTTAGAGGACTGACAGATGTCTTAAAGACTCAGTAATGGTTTGATTCCTTGTTATGACAAAGCAAACTTGCAGGAGAAGATGGTAGTTTTGCTGTGCATCTGAAGTCCCTCAAGAAAATGTCATCTGAAATGTCAAGGTGTGGTCTTGGCACAGCGGTGTGTTGAACTAAGCTTTATCCAGCTGCATCAAAGGGCCTGATCCTGGAGCTGGAAGGAGGTTGCTGTTAAGTACATGTCACAGTAATCACTGTCCTACTTGAATACTCAGCAGAAAAAGGCTGTTGTTCTGACAGGCTGTTGTGTTCTTGCACGAGGCAGCTTTCTGGGAACTGTGACCTGGCCATAATTTACCAGCTTTTGCGGGGGCGGAGACAGAACAAAAGTGTTGTGGTAATTCAAGCGCTCCCTTGCCAAATGCTGGCTCAGTCTGTTTCTTCAAGTGCGTGAAATGGCTTGGAAAAACGCCGGAACAGGCAAAACGGCCCCCTGAAAAGCCATGGCTGGGTTGAGGCCGGGTGCTGCTGTTAGTCAGCATCTGGAGGAGCTCATCGGGAGCTCAAGGTGCGGGTCGGCCTCTCCGTTTGGGCAGGCAGCTGGGGCAGAGATGCGGGCAGAAGACTCGCAGCCGGCGTCTGGTCAAGACGCAGCGTGTGGGATCCCTGGCAGCCGCCCCTGCCGAGGTCCAATCCAGCTTGGTCTGAATTTGAGTTAGGAAATAGGAACTTGAGGCTTTGGAGAGCTCGGGGCTTGCTCAGCAGTGGGTCCACTCGTTAGTCACCGTGCTACTGGGACAGCTCTTCTGGCAGGGGATTTATAAAACCACGGGATTAGTCCGTTCTTAACTGAGAAGCCTGACATGTGAACAGCCCTATTAAAAACTCCCAAAGCCCCTTGGCTGAGGCTCGGTGACCGGCCCAGCGGCTGGAGGAGGACGGGCTCGTGTAAGGCACTGGTACGCTGTGGGACACGTTGAGTCAGGGTTTATAAATCCGGTCCAATTTCTGGAAAATATGTTCTGTTCTGTCTGCTTGGATGCGAAGGGATTCAGAAGAGTTTAGTTCTTGCAGTTTGTGGCTGGCCTTCCCCGTAAAAATTAATTCCAAGTGTTATATAAACATGGCCCTTATTCCAGTTGCAACATAATGTTGTGCTGGCTCTTGCGCTGTGGAGTTGGGGGGGGCAACCCCCTTGTCGGGCAGGACAAAATGCTCTGGCCAAGCAGCTCATGGGAGAGGCTGCAGCTTGTGTGGCTCTGGCCTAAATGTGACGCAGCTCTGACCTCCTGGAGGTGGATGGTACAGCAAAACCTACTTTTTGTGTCATGGGTATCAAGCATCAAGTGCCTGATAGAAAGGTGGCTTCTTGCAGCCTCCAAAGTACGAGCAGAGTTTGCAGGTCATGATGACACCGAAAGGAACCTGTGGTTTTGCTGTAGCAGAGTGGGAGTTGAGGAAACAAGCTAAGAACTTTGGACGCTTCCCTGCTGAAGTGAGATGTGGTAGGACATGCAAGAGCTGCTTCCTCTCCAAGGTCCTGTATAGCTGCAAAACAACATCACATGCCTCTTTGGGCAGGCTTGGTTTTCATTAGAGCTCTGTGTAATTACAGAGAACTGAAAGTAGGAGGTGTGTCAATGTAGCTACTGTGGTCCCCTGTGTTTTCCCTTGCAGTTTGATTTTGTGGGTACAATACTCTTACCAATTCTCATATTCTGCTGAATTTTGCTCCGTGCTTTCTCTAGACCCCACTAAAGCAAACTAGTAAAGCCCTGACCTGGCAGTGGGACTTAATTTCCGCTTGGACTCCGAAGCTCGTCACCCAAGAGTTTTCAAAAGAGGGGCTGAAACTTCTGAAGACCCAATTCCAGTAGACTTCCCTTCTGTAACTATATATATTGGCTTTCAAAAATCAAGCAATTGCAAAACAGGTGGGTGAGAGCTCTTTGCATGCAGGGTGCTGCCCATGAGCTGGGCTTTTTTGCAGGGTAAAGGCAGTGAGAACCATCAATAACAATCCTTTGCAGGCTGCGTGGAGGCGAGGGGCATCCTGAGTTTTGGAATCATCCAGTCGTTGACTTTGACAAGGGTCATGTTGAAAACTCCACTGTCTTCAGTTCTCCAGACCATGTTTTCCCACCCTGAAGGCATGAGCAGGAGTTGATAATGTGTTGGTAGAATAAAACACAGCTGTTTAGCTGCAGTGTAGTCTGAGGAGCAGGGATCTAGGTTAAGTTCCTGCTTTGCTTCAGCCACAGTGTGTGTTGCTGAGCAAGTAGCTCTCTTTGAGAGTAAGAGTACCACCAAACTCTCCTATAAACCACTGAGAAAGATGTGAGACTGAGTGCTGTTTAAGTCTCTGGCCTTTTTTCCCCTCTCTATAACCACCATCTGTGTAACATTTTCATAACTAGAAAAATGGTGGGGTCAGAATCACCTTTGCTAGACCCCGTTGGAAATATCCAGAGTTCATTTTGAAAGCCTTTTTTGACCCTTCCACCCCTCAGGCTGAGGACAGCGTCACGCTGCAGAGTATGAGCTGAGTTTGGAGCTGGGTGTGGAGGATGCTCTTCAGCTCGTGCCTGTAGCTGGGTGTGATGGCAAAAGATCCAACTCCTCAAACTAAGCCGAGTCCTTGCTCTGACCCCGGTGCCGTGGATGCTTGTGCTACAGCGCTGAGGACTCGTAAGGTTCAGCGGAGGCGAGAGGCAGCCTCGGTGCTCCTGCTTCAGAGAAATCAGGGAGAAACGTCTTTGGTTTGTTTTCTCTGGACAGCGTGTTCACATCTGGTTTGACTAAACTCTTCCAGCTACTCTCCTTTCCCCATAAAGGTCTCGAATCCCTGGGAGAGTGCTTGCCTAACTGGCCCTCTGAGGTGCAGCTGAAGGGAGATGAACATCGTGTACCAATATAACTAGTAGAGTTTTGAGGAGTAGGATTAAATGACGTTCCTCAGTTCTGGATTCAGTTTTTCCATAGAGACACTTAAATGCTTTTTGGCCCAAGTAGGGATTTTATCTTGTCAGAGCTCAGCATGTTGTGGTTGCTTGTTGGCCAGGGCTGCACTTTGGTTGGGCACCTGACCTGCAGAAAGGGTAAAGGAGGAAACAGAGGTTGCCTTTGCTTGAAACTAGAAGAGGGAAAGGCTTCTGAGCATGTTGCCCCATCCCGGGCAGGGGCTGCCTACCATAAGAGACAAATTTAAAGGGCCTTCCTCTTCACCAGCTGCTCTCTGCCTCTCAATGCCTGACTTTTCTTCAGCGGTGCAATTAGTTCGGCCGACTTGATGATGTAATGCCTAGCTGCTTCATAATTTCAAGGTTGCTGTTTGTGACTCTTTGGCTTTGAAAGCTTTTCAGATGCCTCCACATCACTAGTGGCTGAGGAAACTTGTTTCTGGGTGCCGACAGGTTCTTGGTCTTGGTTGTGTCAGAGGAGCTTGTGACCAGAGACCTTTTGACTAGAGAAAATGCTTGTTTCTTTTTCTTTTTCTTTCACCCCCGCCCCCAGATTTCTAGCAAATGCTTCCTAGAAAAACAGTAACCTTCCACTTTGATCAAGCACAGTGGGCAACTGGCAGAGGTGTGTGCTCAGTTACGCAGAGAGTGCCAAAGTTTCCTCCTTAAGATGGGTCAAGGCTGGTATGGTGAAATGCTGATCTTCTTCTGTGCTTAAATTGTCCCTGATAAAACTGAGCATGAACACAAGTGTATGACCTAACACGTGGGTTTTGTCTGGGTGATCTTTCAGAGGAGAGAATGCCTAGAGAAGTGCCCTGAAACCCAACGCAAACCCTGCAGAGTGGAATTATTCTTTTTATTTCAGACTTGAAACTGCACCTCCAGAGCACAGACTATGGAAACTTCTTGGCCAACGAAGCCTCCCCGCTCACCGTCTCCGTCATAGACGACAAGTTAAAGGAGAAGATGGTGGTGGAGTTCCGTCACATGAGGAACCACGCGTATGAGCCCCTAGCAAGCTTTCTGGACTTCATCACGTGAGTATCAGCTGGCATTTGAAACGTTGTTCTTCTTCCAGACTTGAGGGCTCTCAGACCAGCTTTCCACACTCAGCCCTGTAGCTGCAATGTTTTCTGCAGCTTCTGGAATGAATGTATGACCTAACACGTGGGTTTTGTCTGGGTGATCTTTCAGAGGAGAGAATGCCTAGAGAAGTGCCCTGAAACCCAACGCAAACCCTGCAGAGTGGAATTATTCTTTTTATTTCAGACTTGAAACTGCACCTCCAGAGCACAGACTATGGAAACTTCTTGGCCAACGAAGCCTCCCCGCTCACCGTCTCCGTCATAGACGACAAGTTAAAGGAGAAGATGGTGGTGGAGTTCCGTCACATGAGGAACCACGCGTATGAGCCCCTAGCAAGCTTTCTGGACTTCATCACGTGAGTATCAGCTGGCATTTGAAACGTTGTTCTTCTTCCAGACTTGAGGGCTCTCAGACCAGCTTTCCACACTCAGCCCTGTAGCTGCAATGTTTTCTGCAGCTTCTGGAATGAAACTGTTTTGGTTCTATCTGGAGGTCCCAAACCAACAGCAATCACTGCATTATTAAAGGCTTCTTCTCCCAGTGGACTGGGATGCTCTGGACACTCTGTGTCCAGTTTCACGAGGCCTTGTAACCTTTTAACAGCTCTTTGCTCTTGTTTAGTGAGAGATTCAACCTTTTAAAATACATTCTGCCTTTTTAAAGTATGTCACCGGGGCGTGGGTGCTTCGTTGGCACAGCTCCTTAGCTGCCCTCCATGGCACAATTGGTTCAGTCCCTATTAGAGCTGTCATTTAGCTTTGTCCCTTGTGGTGAATGTTCCTGGGCTTTTAAATATGTGATCCTGCTGCAAAACATACTCGTGCCAGGCACGTGCATGACCACAGCCTGCTAGTTCTGCCCCACCGAGGGGCAGAACGTGTCTGGGCTGCTGTGATCCTGCCATCCCACCCCAGGGGCTGTAGCCTTTCCTCTGACCTCTATCCCAAACGGATTCAGGGAGTTGAGCTGGTCAAAAATAGAACAACTTTTTCCCTTTTGGGGTTAATCTTTGACTGATTTGTTTTTTCTCAGCCTGCTCAATGGGATCGGAGAGACGCCGGCTCTAGGGGAAAGGAGGCCCTAGGATGTGCAGCAGGGGAAGCAGGGCTGCAGCAGCCTCAGCACGTCTGTCAGGGCGTGAAAAGACATGGGATGTGCACTTCCACAGCAGGTTCAGCTGACATGAAAAGCTTGAAATAGCAGTTTTGCACAATCCCCTGCTCTCCTGTGTGCTGCTCTTGTTTTAATCAGTAATCAAATGAAATTGCTAGCCTCAGTGAGATACCAGTTGTGCTAGTTTGCATCTGAAATGTGGAAGCAAAATTGCCTTTTTTCTTTTCCTTAGTCTTACGTTCCTGTAAGCTCTAGTGTGGCTTGCAAAGTGCACAGCCAGTGGCCTTTCCTAACCAGTAGGGAGGTATCTCATGGACAAAAGTGAATTTCTGGTTCAGTAGAACGTGACTTTAACTTGCATCTCTGAGAACAAGATTCTTCCTGAATTAGGATAGTTAATACATCAGCATTCATTTAGTTGATATAATGAGCTTGGACTCATCACAGGCACTCTGGCAAGTGGTGTTTTACTTTTGGCACTTGTCTGTGTGTTATCTTGCTTTCCCCCTAGAGATTTTTTTGAATGTTGCAGGCCTTTGTGGTCAATTCAAAGATTTTAAATTTTGGCCTATCTATGACATCTCCTGAATGTGCAAATACTGATTAAAGACCTGTCTCTCGGCCACATTCCTTCCAGTTCTGTCCTTTCTATGTCTGGACAGTAACACTACCTTGTTTTTCTCCGTGGCTTGTATCTGTTAATTTCTGGGTCACTGTGCTAAAGCTGCCTGTCTTTTAAGCCTTTCCTATTTTCCAAATAGTTTTTTCTTATATGCCTGTCACTAAAACTCAAGGAGTTCTAGTATTTGGCTCATGACATGGCAAGACATCACTCGGCCCTCATTTTGCAGCACTGTTTGCAATGGATGAAGCAGTTTCTAGCTCATCATCTTAGTCGTGTGCAGCAATCTCTTCTATTCTCTCAAACTTAACCTTCAAAGCACCTCTTTGCCCACCTTCAACTTGTTGTAAAGAAGTCAGTACTGTTTGAGCCTGGCAATATTAGGTAGTTTGTCTTCCACTGGTGCTTTTCCTTTGCTGCCCTCCAGGTTTATAGAAAAGTCTAGTCTCTATGGAAGCATCACACTGATCACTTAAAGGCAATAGTCTGGGCAGGACATATGAGTATTTTGCAGACTTTAAAACTTTGCTGTTCCCTGACTGTTCTCTTTTGATAAACAGTACATGGAAATGATGAACTGACAGGTCTTGGACCTGCCCTGGTTACACACTGCATGACTTGGGAGGAAGGTTTGAGTAGCTGTGGAAATCCAGTTTCCTCTTACACCAGTCCTGATGACTTTTATCCGGTGTCTCCATCCAGCTCAAGTTGTGCAGAGTTCCTTAAACATCTCATGTAATCCGATAGGCTGGTTCTCACAGCTGTTAGCATTACTTTGTTGTTTTTCCTTCAGCTTGGTTTAACTTTGATCTTGTTCTGCTTCTGTCTCTCTGATTTTGATGAGTTCTCTGTGGCAAAACACAATTCTGTGCAGATATCTGTGTCTCTTGCCCACTGGGTAATCTCATCTGGAAGATATTGGTCCCATTCAGCACAGGATGTTCCTTCCTTGAGTTGTCTTCGCTCTCACATCTCCTTTCCCTTTTTACCCACAAGATTGGCTTTAATGCTGCTGCCTTCACTACCTGCCTAGAGGAAGGCAGAAGATGAAGCAGGACAAAAGGTGTTTTGGTACATGAAGCACCTCCGCTCACTTGTGAAGCCTTTTGTGCAAGCAGACTGCTAACGACGCTACAGACGAGCTGACACAGAAGAATGAGGACAGTGAAACGCAAAAGAGTTTGAAGAGGGTGCTGGTTTTGCCCACATCTTTAAGGTCCCTTCCAACCCAAACCATCCTATGACTCTGATGTGCACACAGAGCTACTGTGTCATCCTGCCTGCTCTGCGTGACACTGGGACAAGCCTGTGCCCCTTGATCTTCCACTCCAGCTGGGCACACAGGCCCAATGGGATGATTTATCTTTGCCTTTTGAACATGACTGTTTCTCACTCCTTTCTTTTAGGGTAGTTAGTGAAACCTGAGCAGGAAATCAGAGAATTGACAGAGTTGGAAGGGACCTCTAGAGACCGTCCAGTCCAACTCCCCTGCCAAAGCAGGGCTGCCCAGAGCACATCACTCAGGAGCATCCAGGTGGGGCTTGAAGATCTCCAGAGAAGGGGACTCCACACCCTCCCTGGGCAGCCTCTGCCAGGGCTCTGCCACCCTCACCCCAAAGAAGTTCTTCCTCACATTGGAGTGGAACTTCCCATGGTCCAGCTTGTGCCCGTTGCCCCTCGTCCTGTCACTGGGAACCACTGAAAAGAGTCTGGCTCCATCCTCCTTCAACCCACCCTTGAGATCCTTGTCAGCATTGAGAAGGTTTCCCCTCAGTCTTCTCTTCTCCAGGCTGAAAAGTCCCAGCTCTCTCAGCCTTTCCTCATCAGGGAGATGCTCCAATCCCTCCATCATCTCTGTTGCCCTACGCTGGACTCTTTCCAGCAGTTTCCTGTCTCTCTTGAACTGGGGAGCCCAGAACTGGGTGCAGGATTCCAGTTGTAGCCTCACCAATGCAGAGTGGGGTAAAGATTCTTCCTGGTAGACAGCCCAGGGCAAGCGAGGCACCAGGTGGTCAGAAGAAGAAATTGTGCTCAACTGAATGTGTCCATGTGCTAAAACTGTACAGGCTGAATTTGAATAGAAAATGGTAGAAAGACATGGAAAGTTTGAGCAGGGCTGGCTTCTGCAGGAGGAAAGCTTGAGTTCACTGGGGCTCTCTTGAGAGAGAGGCACTGGGTTGTAAACAGAGATTTTGAAAATGGAATGGGAATGTAGGAGGTGTGTCTGGCTTAAAATTGAAGGAAATGTCTTGTATCATGTCCAGTTCAGCTCTGAAACTCACTGCTGCTGGATGCCTTTCCATGTACTAACATTTTTGGCCTTTTTAGAAATACTGGATAACCTCACACAAGAGAGGCCCATTGAGGCCCGTTAAGCACTTGGGTACCGTCTTGCTGAGAGTGACTCGGGTTTGGAAGCCAGGAGGTGGTGGGTCAAGCATTTAACAGATTTTCTCCTTCATGCATGTCCTGCTGGACTATGGAGTGCTTTTGAATTGATCCACAGGTGACTGTCGTGCTTTCCAGAGGGTACTTGTTTTTGGAGGGTACTCAGATCTTGACCATTCAGCGATGCGCTGAGAAGACCTGGGGGCCAGCTGTAGACCTTGTCCGTTCTGATGGCTCCAGAGCTGACCTGCCAAAAGCCTGTGTGGGATTATACTTTGTGGTTTCTCTTGCCTCTTCTAAGTGGCCCATCAACTAGATGAGGCCAGAGGAAGGAGAAGGAGCTCCAGGAGGATGCTCTTCCCTGCCCAGCTCCGGGGAGATGAGGCGGCGCTGCCGGTGACTTGCCGGAAGGTGGCACTCCAGCCCCGGGACTGCCTGTCCCCAGGTGCACACCGGGCCATAGGTAAGGATGGTCACCTAGGGAGGTGGCCAGGAGGTGACCTCTCTCCTGAGCTTAGCCCAAAGGACAGCGTTTAAAAGCACAAAACAAAACTGACCCAAGAACACAGCTGAGCAGCAACCCCAAGGCAAGGTCTTCGTTCCCCAAGGCAAGGTCTTCGTTCCCCAAGGCAAGGTCTTCGTTGCCCAAGTCACTTGCTGCCACTGATATTTTATTTTATTTTATTTTTATTTTTTAATCCTGTTGTGCTTCTTTGCTGGCACCACCCTGACTCTTTCCTGGCTCCGGTCCCCTCCAGGAACTCTTCTGTGGCAAGTGTTGCGTTGTTAGTACCAAAATATTGAGGGAGTTGGCCCATTTCCCTTTTG